GGGAGACTGCACACCCCCTGGTTTCTTTTGAATAAGCTCAATTGCCGCATATAGATGAGTATTGGACTGAGCAGAGTTTTTGGCAAAGATCCACGCAGTTGCAGAACCTACTCAACCACTGCCTAGAAGGAACTTCCCGTTGGAACCTTCAGTAACTTTTATAAGGGCCGGCAGCTAGAGGGGCGATTTTTGCCCTAGGGAGGGCCCCGTAATAAATAATAATAATATATATATATACACACACACACACACACACACACACACACACACACCCCCAACATGGCCAGACGTTTTCATGAAAAAAGTTCCCTGCTTTTTTTTGGCGGAGGGAATGTATATTGTATCCAAGATAAAACTGGCATTGATTTTGGGGGAAGTTTATCTGGATCAGGTTTGCTAATAATGTTTTTTAATTCATTTTCATTTCTTAAATTGGATTGTATGTGAAAACATCAGCATGACTTTAAAGACGATACAATCACATAGTTACCCCATTACGTCCTGACCTGCTCTCAGTAACTGACAATCTTTTAGCGATCAGAATGATCTGACTAATCCTCCCTCCCTCCCTCATGCACTCTTACTGGGCATATAAAATGTCTTTCTAAAATGAATGAAGAAAAGCCGTACTACCAATCCAAGGGAATGGCTAACAAAAAGGTAGTGTGTCCCTGAGGCAAGGGAACTAAAAAGGCCCATTAGGGTTTTTTTCCCACCCATCCAGCAGCACAGTCAGAACTGTGGCAGGATTGACCGCAGTTCCAGACACAGTGGTGACCTTTTAACAGTTTCAGCTGGGAATGGCAAATTCACTGTGGCGCTCCCACTAAAATGGATGTTACGTTTACAGATTGAAGGAAGAACAGGACCCAATATTGTAATTGTTTGAAAAAGACAAGCACTTTAATGTTTTCTAGGAAGTTAGGGGTGAGCTCAGTCATATGGTACTAAAAATCATTTAAGGTTCACTCCATCCAACACAGTAATTGTTCAGTACTGGTAGATTGGCCCTAACATACTGATCTTTTTAGTAGTTTGCCAGCATGGCAACTAAGAAATGGATATGTTTATTTACTTAATAAAAGAGCCTCCATCCAGTTGTACTATACAAAATTCTTATATTTAATTGTAATTGTTATTTGAGTAAAAGAGTTTCTTAACAGAATTATTCCAATTTATTTCCAGAGAAAAAAGATATTTTGTCTTTTTGCTACAGTTCTATCACCGAGAATGCAAAACATGTTTATGTGCCGGCACGTTGGCTTTTTATACAATGTACTGTATGCAGTAAAAGTACTGTAAGTAATGAGATATCAATAAACTTGTTTCACTTAAGAAAAAAAACCTGCTTTGGAGACATGGTGTTCCCTTTTCAGTGAGCTCCAGGTTTACTGTAATGTTTAACCAGCATGGGATTTTCAAAAGTGCCTTCAGGATCACAAAGGCCAATCCCATCCTTAATACTTACTAAAAGCAGAATCTCTCTAATTTACTGTAGTAACAGGGAATGCTGCAGTGAACTACTGGCTTTTGCAAAAGGCAGCCTTACCCTTTTGCAGGAAATGGGAATTGTGGGTGTGCAAAGATAGCAAAGTTCAGGACCTTAGTGAATGAAATGAAACTTTCCAAAGGTGGGACCCTAATGGAGAAGGCTGTGCCTTCAGTCGTCCGAGAATGTTGTGTCCCCTGGAACTGAGAGCTAAAAACCACTCAGTTGATGGAATGCAAGGAGAGGGTAGTCAAGTCCCAGAGCATTTGGGGTTTAAATGTTATCCCCGCACCTTGAGAAAAACAGGAAGCCAGTGCACGGATGGTATGTACTTCCTAGGATGACTAGAGAGCAAGTGTGAAAATTCTGGACCCTTTTTTCTCCCGAGGGTGTGGAGGGTATAGGTGCGTATATAAGCCAAAGCCCCTAATATTGGAACATCTGATCACCCTAGCACTCCCAGTGCCATGTGGATTTTAGCAGTTATAGGCAGCAGATCCAGTTCAGACACTATAAGCAGAATCCATTTTTACAGAGTCTTTGCCAAACCAATAACCAAAACACAGGACTAAACAGAGGCACAAGAAACCAGCCTCCCGCTGTCAATGCCACTAGGTAGAGATAGAAACAAGCGAAAGCTGGGAGAACAAGGAACATTGCAGTCAAAGAGGAGACCAGATTTCTAATCCCGGGATTGATTTATCCCAATGTATGATCCTTACCTTCAGAATTCTAAAGTTGAGGGCTGGGAATCCTGTTAACTTCTCTCTCTTTTCCCCCACTACCTCATCCTCGTCCTTCTCCCAAAGGGGTTTGTCGCTCCTCCCTTCTTTCCCAACCAGGCAAGGTCTGTCTTTCTGCTATCCTCCCTTCGTGAGGTTCCCCACGGCTTCTGGGCTCTACACCCAACAGGCCCAGCCTATGTTGTGAGCCACCCACCACAGTTGCTTTTGTGTGGCCAATTATATATGATGAGCCAATTGCGGTGTTCGTAAGCCACATTCCACGGCCCCGATCAAGACTTAGAAACTCCAGTTGGACTGTTCTGTAAGTACCAAGCAAAGCACACGTGTAAGAGGTCTTAAAAGTATACTTTTATTTTCTTCCAAAATACTATGTACACTCTGTTAAAGCTTGTCGAGATGCGACGGCTCCTATCCAATGGAGCTGCGCAGAGACATGTAATGCAAGACAACAATAAAATCTAACTGTCTTCATAAGACACTTCCTTTTTTCCATTACAAAATACTTTAACATTTATAAATGTATCTATATTTGACATCATATAAAATAAACTCATCTTCATACTCAAGTCTAAGTTTTTACAGGGGATATAGTACAATATGTACAAGAATGTTTCACTGTGTTTGTCAAACCAGCCTGGTTATCACCACCAGGCTTTAGCTTATAATGTACAAATATGCTAAAAGTGCAAGATTTGAATTAAAGCTGCCTGTGTTTTCAGAGGTCTGGAATTGTGTGGCCAAATGTGTATACACGTGTGTACTGGAAAGCCGGACAATGTTTATGACTTAAGGTGTCTCGCTCTGAGCTGGCGCCAATCTTTGGACACACTTTGTGGTGGTTCTAGAGTCCAAAGGACAGGAATAATCCCAGTCTCTACTGCTGGTAGAATGTGCATCCCATTGTAAGTGGACAAGCCCACCTGCTTACCGAAACCAGTTGACAATAGGCAATTCCAAACAGGTCACAAAAACACAGGCCATCGTTAACACAGAGGTAAACAAATCAACGGTAACCTGAATAGGATCGCTTTATTTGAGAGAGCTCAGGGCCAACGGCTGAGGTCTGGATTCAGTATTTACACAGGTTGGGCTCCTGTTGCATCGACAGGAGATTGCCTGCGTAAGGACTGAACAGAAACTGAGTAAAACCTGAGTAAGGACCTCAACAGTGTGGTGCGCTCATGATTGTCTGAAAACTGGGAGGAGCTTTGAAGGCGGCAAGAAAGAATGCGCCTTGATGAAAGCAGCCTCTTCACATGAGTCATAGTGACATGGCCAGTATTAGCCAGGGCTTGTCAACATACATCACGACTCTCTTAGCCAAATTGCACTAACAGGGGTGATAGACAGTGGAAAGAAGGGGTAGGGGTTTTTTTCTTAATAAAGTGCATGTTTTTTGAAAGGCCAATCCAAAAGAGGGTCCCAAACTCTGCGTTCTAGGGCCACCATTTAGCCTCTTTTCTTTCCCCACCCCACTCTCCCCAGCCACATATAGCAGCCATCCTCAAGGCCATATTGTCACAGCTCCCAGCCGTTCCCACCTGCAACGAGCTGGCAGAGGATGCCCATATTGCACATAGTAGCCATGTAAGTCTCAGCTGGACAATTGTCCAGCGCTGTGTTCCATAAGCAACAATGAAAAGGCAACTGCATTGATTCGGCCTCAGAGAGCTCTCTAAAACCTGGGCTTTCTCTGCACTACAATGTGCCTTAGTGGAGAGCCCAGTGCCGGCTGCTGGCCTCATTCACACTAGCCCCCGCTGCCTGCAGCAGAGTTGACTGGTTTACAAGGCCAAACCAGAGACAGCAGCCCAGCCGCACAAAGAGTGAGGATGAGAATTTTTGGGCCTTGTTTTTTTTTTAACATTGGCTTTTGCATAAGCTCCTCGCCCGTCTTTCTTCCCTGCCAGCTTACTTTGTTTTCCAGTTAAACTATTGGCTTTGGGGGCCAACCTAATAATGATGTGAAAAAGGGGCAAACAGCTGTTGGAAGGGTTGCTCAGGCAGTGCGGCTGTCTCTGATGGCGCAGCGTACGAGTGTGTGGCTGTTACTTGAGGCAACCCGGCCCAGGCCTTTAGGCACACCTTGCATTCACACTGGCTGCAGCACATGCTAGCGTCCCCCTCGCCCAACGTGTTTCGGTACAAAAGCCTGTCTACACGGGCTAAAAAAACAAACAAGCCTCAAAAGAGCCGAGGCTGGTAGGGCGTTTATCGTGATGGTTTCAGTTACAAGGATGTAGTCACAGGGGTTCACCTGTGCTGCCACCACCTTAATTTTAGCAAGCGCGAGCGTGCGAAAGCCCACAAGCAAGTATTAAAATGGCCGTACTGGGTCAGACCAAAGGTTAATCTAGCCCAGTCCTGTCTTCCGACAGTGGCCAGTGCCAGGTGCCCCAGAGGGAATGAGCAGAACAGGTAATCATCAAGTGATCCATCCCCTGTCACCCATTCCAGCTTCCGGCAAACAGAGGCTAGTGACATCATCCCTGCCCATCCTGGCTAATAGCCGTTGGTGGATCTATCCTCCATGAACTTATCTAGTGCTTTTTTGAATGTGATTAATCTGTATAATAACTAACTGGCCAGTTTCCTATAACACGTTTTTGTCCATGTCTTGGCCTCATTGAAACACATTCCAAGTGCAATACTGTACCAAAGTGGCCCGAAGTCAGCCAAGGCTACCGTAGCATTTTATCAAAAGTAGTGGCAGGTACTGCGCACAGAGTGGGGGTGGGGGGTTTAAACACAAGCTTGTTTAAAACAAAAAAAAATTTCAACCCCAACCCCCTTTGGCAAATGTAAGACGGGTGCCACAACAGACGCTGTGGTAGTGCCTTCGCACAGCACCGCACAGCTATCGGCCAGCCTGAGCTCCAGGCTGACGACGCTCACTGGTGCTGAAGGGCACATCCTGGATGCTGGGCCTGTACAAGGGCCATGCCCTACACCGGTTTGTGAACTAGGGTGTGTGTATGTTTGTTCCTTGAGTGCTGCACCAATGACCTTCAGCTGCAGCAAAACAGCCTGGGTGTCGAGCATGTATCTGAGGGTACGCCTGCACTGGGGCTGGCGGGGTCATGTTCGGTGCCTGTAGCTGTAGACTGCACGTGCTAAAAACCGAACAGTAGCTGAGCCGTGTGAGTGACGAGTGTTTGGGTGCAGCTGGAATTTCATGGCGGGCAGCCAGCCCTCACGCTGCTTGGGCTACACTTAGTGCAATTAGCCCTAGCCTTGGATTAGGGGTTTGTGGGGCCAGAGCCAGGGGGGGCCTCGCCACCTCTTCTGCCTGCAGGCCAGCTAGTCCATTCCCCTGACAGGCAGGAGTGCCAGGCTGGTGGAGCAGGTCGGGGGATGTGTGTGGAGTGCCCATTTTTCATGGGGGCCCTCTTAATTGGCCCACTAATCCACCACTGTGCACCTCTCCTCAAACTGGGTAGGACCCCCTCCAGCCTCAGAGGAGCCGGACCCTGAATGCCAATGGTTCCTCCCTCCCCCAGTCCTTTTTATCAATCAAGAGTTGAACGAACAAACTGCTACTGTCAGTGGAATCCCATTCCTTTCCAAAGACACATCCTTCATGAGTAAGGCTACAGTTAAGTCACGGGTATTTTTAGTAAAAGTCATGGCCAGGTCACGGCCAAGCAACAACCATTCCTGGCCCGTGACCTGTCCATGACTTATATCTGTAATTAAATCTTGGAGGGGGTGGGGGGCACTGGCACTGCTGCTGGGGACTGCTGCAGCGGCTGGTGTGGCTGTCCTGACAGGCCCCGGAGCCAGCTGCTTGGGCAGTCCTGGGCTCAGCCCCACTGGCCCCTGCAGAAGATACGGAGGTTACGGACTCCATGCCGTCTATACCAGCCACGGAGCCCTGCTGAGGAGTTTGCGAACGCGCCCAGCCATAAGGGTTCCTATGACCCAAAGCACTAATGCTAAGCGGCCGTAGCTATCTGCCTTTTCAGCCACATTTGCTGTAGCATGACACACCCCTGGAATGGATACACGGCGGCAACCAGGCTCTTAGAGGCCCTAAGCAGGCCTCAAGCAAAACACACCCTCTCTTCAGTGCGAGTGTTAGTTACGTACCACACGTTGCACAATTGCCTGTAGCCCCAAGTGCGAGTGTGTCGGCCAATGGCTCCCAAGAGGCACGTCCTGTTATACATGTGGGGCCATTTTTGGGCCACAGCATGGATCACCCAAGTGCATCCACGGGCACAATTGGTGCCCCTTGTATTTGCAGGTAAAAGACAGCTACAAACAACACTTTGCTAAGTAGACGTTTGAGGCCGTCAGTGGGAAGGCGGTTGCTATTGCACATCATTTTTCCAGCCATGGTCCCTGACATTACAACACGCTTCAGTCACAAGGAATTGGCAGGGACAATCCCATTCCTATACCTCTGGCAGCTGAGGTGGGTAAACACACTCTAAACAGGAGCTCAGTGATGTTAAGGCCAACATTTTTTTTTTTGTAGCAGAGGGGTAGCCGTGTTAGTCTGGTTCTGTAAAAACTGACAGAGTCCTGTGATACCTTATAGACTAACAGACGTATTGGAGCATGAGCTTTCGTGAGTGATGAAGTGGGTATTCACCTACAAATGCTTATGCTCCAATACGTCTGTTAGTCTATAAGGTGCCACAGGGACTCTGTCGCTTTTTTTTTGCTGGCTAATCTTTGGTACCCAACTTGCAAGCCCAACCGTCACCCTAGCTGCCTTGGCCAAAAACTGAGTTACACTCACTGAGCCAGCCAAAAAAAATGGGCACATTTGCCAATTCCAGCCTATGCGTTTGCCCCAGGTCATACAGTACAGCTAGGGGGTTAGACTTTGCCTCCTCAACCTCTCATTGTTAAGCTCCCTTCTTTTCTAGATACACCACCATGGCCTAGTAGCATATTGTACACGGGGCTCCAACCAAGCTATGAAAACAGCTAACACATGTCTATTCTCCCCTGGTGACTGATGCTGGCTGCGCAGCGCTAGGGTGTAGCCTGATGGAACGGAGCTCTCCCCTAACAGTATGTACTGCTCTCCTCTTAGGGCACGTCTTCACTACCCGCCGGATCGGCGGGTAGCGATCGATCTATCGGGGATCGATTTATCGCGTCTAGTGTAGACGCGATAAAATCGATCCCCGGTCGCTCTGCTGTCGACGCCGGAACTCCACTGCAGCGAGAGGCGGAAGCGGAGTCGACGGGGGAGTGGCAGCAGTCGACTCGCCGCCGTCCTCACTCGCCGCCGTCCTCACACCTCCCCCCCCCCGTAGTGTAGACCTAGCCTTAGTCACTCGAACTGTGACTTGAGTTTTAATACTAAAATGTTTAGACCTAATTAATATGGTTCTCAATGCCCCACGCAAGGTGCAAACAAGTATTGCCGCCAGCAGCAGGGCACCCAGACTGCAGCCGGGGTGAGCCTGCCAGTTGCTCCACACCCTTCCTAGGCAAAGCCAGGCACCCCGCTTCGAACACGCTCAGTCCCAGCTCTGCTCAGTGTCCACGGTCAGTTTCACAAGCAGGCGCCCAATAGCCGAGTGCGGGTGGGGCCCAAACACGCCCAGGCAGGCCTGGAAACGAACATGCACCTTGACGTTCTTTGGAAATGGTTTTTAAAGTGGCCAAAGAAACATCATAACCCAGATGCTTGGCTGGACCGCAGCCGCCACCAGGGCAATGTAGCTGAGGATGCCTCGGGAAAGTCTGCTGTGGCACAGGGCTGCTATACAGCCTAGGGGTGTGGACCGGGGGGGGGGGGGGGGAAGGGGAGTGTGGGGCCCTATGCCCGGTGAGCCCATGGTGCCTGAACAGCCTTTGGGAGCTGGCTAAAAATAAAGCATTCCCGCAAAGTGAGCCCGGCTTTGGTAGGTTTGGCAGCCCAATGGTGACTTACAGTCACCTTTTCCAAGCAATGCTGAGCACAGCTCTACTGCTCACTATGATCCGGCCAGGGCCGGCTCCAGGGTTTTGGCCGCCCCAAGCAGCCAAAAAAAAAAGCTGCGATCGTGATCTGCGGCGGCAATTTGGCGGGAGGTCCTTCGCTCCGAGCGGGAGTGAGGGACCGTCCGCCGAAGAGCAGGACGTGCCGCCCCTCTCCGGAGTGGCCGCCCCAAGCATCTGCTTGCCAGGCTGGTGCCTGGAGCCGGCCCGGGATCCACCTGACCTCACCACGCGTTCAGCCTCATCTGTTTCATCTCAACTACTAGAGGCTGGCACCGCGAGCGCATGCTGACGGAGGGGTCCCAAAAGGGCCTAGAAAGAGCAGACGGATGAAGACAATAACCTTTCCCTAAACTCTATTCCGAGGCCAGCCACAATGTTATGACTTTGCCATTGCTTTTTTTTTGCTTTAAGGAAGTATCCAAGCATTGTCTCAGAGCTGGTGTTAATGGCATACATTGTCTTCCGCGTTTGGGATCGAGCATGACCCAAATCTAACACTCAGTTACTAAAAAAAAAAAAACCATCTAAAAATTAAATATTCATTTTCCTTTGGAAAGACACAAACAGTAGGGCCACTTTACTATACACCCACTGAGGAATAGACATTTTTGTCAGTTCATAAATATAAACATATAGTTAAAAAGTGACAATTTACAAAAATACAATTTATTGCTAACCCTATAGGCTTGGAATATCACCTGGGTCATCGTTAGTATAAATTTCAGCTTTGCCAAATTGAAACATGAACTAGCAAAACCACAAAGTTTGCCTTCATCTGATTTTCAGGTGTAAAGAAGCATAAGGACTCCTTGTCGGTACACCCTGAAAAATACTTGGCTCCAGGGAATAAAAACATATAAATTTATCTGCACACGTATCTTATTACTGGTGACGTGAGTTGGTATAACAACAGTACGAAATTTAGGCAAGAGTGGTGGTACAGAAATTAGCAGCATTATCCAATCATCTGAAAAAAAACTAATTCTGGGATTGAGGTATAGGAAAAAAGGAAAACAAAATCCACAATGAACCTACTACAACAAAGCGAATTATGTACACGATAATTAACTGGGATCCTGCTGATTCTGACAGTTTTCTGTGTTCCAAACACTGGTCTTAAATTCACAGTGAATTTCAGCAACATGTAAAAGGAGCGTCTGTGTCCTGAATTGAAAATATTTTCTCAGTTGCAAAGTGATCTTTGCACTGACCTGATTAATAACGT